GGAGGAACCACAGATCACAACCTGTTTCAGAGCCTTTTCCCGGAGACCCGTTACGAGCGGCTCCCGAGATCCTCCCATTGGCGGTGAGTGAGTCAGTGTGAGATCAGTCAGAGACTAAGTCAGTGTCTGAGACCAGAGCTGAGAGGCTCTCAGTGTGAGGTCCAGTGTTGGGCACATTGCAGTGACAGCCAACAGGACCATGAAGCTGTTCCTGACGGCTGTCGCTGCCCTCCTGCCCTTGTGCTTTGGGCTCCAAAGTAAGTGGCCGTCGGACTGTCACAATAATAGTGATATTAATAATAATCCTCGCGTTTGACGCGGCGCCTTCTCACGTCTCCTGAGACGTCGCAAAGCCCTTCGCAGGACAGCGCAGTGACCGTACGTACGTGTTGTGGGAAAACAGCCGCGGCTGAAGCCACCGGAATCTTTCGGTCAAAATCTATTTTGGTCGAAGGGATCATCACCGGAAAAGCGATCGACCATTTGATGAGCTGCAGGTTCCCACTGACTGCTGTTCGTGAGTGGGTGGGGTGGGGGTGGGTGGGGGGGGGTGGGGGGTGGGGGTGGGTGGCGGGGGGGGGGGTGGGCTTGGGGGTGGGTGGGGGGGGGGGTGGGGGTGTGGGGGGGGGGGTGTGTGGGTGGGGGGGTGGGGCTGGGGTGGGGTGTGGGGTGTGGGTGGGGGTGGGTAAGGAAACTGCCTAAGGTTTCCCCCTGTCCTGTCCCACTCGGGAATCCAACCCACATCCTCTGCCTTGTGAGGGGAGGGGTCTAACCGCTGAGCTACAGGGGCTGTGGGGTGTGGGGTGAGGGGTCTAACCCCTGAGCTACAGGGGCTGTGGGGGTGAGGGGAGGGGTCTAACCCCTGAGCTACAGGGGCTGTGGGGGTGAGGGGAGGGGTGTAACCCCTGAGCTACAGGGGCTGTGGGGTGCGAGGGGTCTAACCCCTGAGCTACAGGGGCTGTGGGGTGCGAACCCCTCTCCTCCTACCCCCCCCCCTCCCCCCACAGCGTGACTGAGCTCACAGTCATCGCAGGGCTGCAGGGAGCTGTGAGCTGTGTGTACGTGTGTACGCTGTGAGCTGTGCCCTGTGTGTACACTTGTGTCCTGTGTGTAGACTGTGCCCTGTGTGTACACTGTGAGCTGTGTGTACACTGTGAGCTGTGTGTACACTGTGAGCTGTGTGTACACTGTGCCCTGTGTGTACACTGTGCCCTGTGTGTACACTGTGAGCTGTGTGGGCATTTGACAGTTGCGAGCGTGTGCTGTATGTGACAAGTGTGTGTGAAGTGTGTGAACAGTATGTACTCAGTGACCTGTTACACACGTACAATCAGTGTGTGTGTTTGTGTCTGACAGAGCCTCAGGTGTTGAGATTGTTACACACACTGGTGTCAGCGGACGGAGAACTTCCAGAGTACAGTCGTGCTGCGATGTTGGAGGATGTTGAGATCTATCACTACGACAGCAACAGTGAGAGAATTGTCAGTCGGATTCCCGGTGTACAGACGGCTGTTAGAGAACAGCACTTCCTTGTACATGTAGAGGGGGTGAAGAGACATTATGTGACGTTGAAGGAGAAAATGTTGTATATGATGAAGAGCAGGAATATTATGAGCGGTGAGTGGCTCAATACTCCCTGTGAACATCCAGCACTGTTCACTGTGTGTGTGTGTGTGTGTTGACTACATCTGTGAGGGAGAGTGAGTGTGTGTGAGTGTCCCTGTCATTATGTGTGTGAGTGTGTGAGACGGTCGGTGATGGACAGACACACTCTGCGCTGATCACAATGGCTGTCAATGGCTATTTCAGGGGCTCACTATGCCCAGGCGATAACTGGCTGTGAGGTGAGGGAGGACGGCACTACATACGAACACTTCACAATGGCGTTTGATGGTGAAGATTTTCTCAGCTTTGACAAAAACGACCTGAGATGGATTTCTGCTGTTCCCGAGGCTCAGACCCTGAGACGGAAACTGGACAATGACACAGACATCAATCAGTATTGCAAACAGGTCCTGGAGAATGACTGTCCTACTTGGATGGAGGAATACTATCAGTATTCAAAGTCCACCTTCCAGCGACAGAGTGAGTGTGTGTTGTTACTAATATGGCCTTATTATATGGTTAAGCCTCGCTGTGTCAGGGTGGGCTCAGTGCTGAGCTGTGTGTGACTGTGCTCCCCTCCCCAGGCCGCCCTGACGTCTCAGTCAGTTACAGGAGGGACGTGGGGGGGAGAGCCCTTCTCTCCTGTCTTGTTACTGGCTTCTATCCGCGGCCCATCGAGGTGACCTGGACAAGGGACGGCAACACTGTCCACGAGGTGGAGTCCAGCGGTGTATTACCCAACCACGACCACACCTTTCAGACAGTGAAGCAGATGGAGCTGGAGACGGGCTCCGCGGGGGATCAGGGCTTCTCCTGTCTGGTGGAGCACAGCAGCCTCCAGGGGGTGTTGGAGGTGCCGTGGGGTAAGATCAACAACAACAACTCGGGTTTACACAGCAACCTCACACGGGGCAGCGTCTCGAGCACTTAACAGTGGTGGGGCTGACACGGGGAGGGGGAGGGGACCTTTCAGTAAGTGTTACGGGAAGTTTACTCTCAACCAGTCCTTGATGTCTGACAAACAAACTGACAGGACATCAGGGATCTGGAGTCACAGCTGGAGGAGGATTGGGTGTCAACCACATACATAGGTCATCCACACACATAAGGTCACAGCGGGAAACCGGGAATAACATGAGGTGTCCGTCTGTCTCCGGGAGAACTCTCTGTCTTCTCTAAACAGCCGCCCATCCGCCCTTCTCATCCCATTCTCCAATATTCTCTCATACTCCTCACCTCTCTCTCTTCCCGTCCTCCAATACTCTGCAGATCTCTCTCTCTCTCGTTTCTCTCTTCTCGCCCTCTGACCCTCTCCCTCTCTCAGACTCCGCTCCTCTCTCGCTCTCAGGACCTTAATGAAAGTTTGGTTGTTGTTCACTCCGAACAGATGGGAAAACAGGGAGAACTCCGGCCGGTTCCACTTCCTGGATCCTGGGCCTCATCATCGGGGCTTTGCTGGTGTCTGGGATTGTGGGGATTCTCTTCTGGAAAAGAAAACGAGAGCGAAAAGGTGAATAAATGGGACTGTCGCGAGAGCCGATTATCAGAGAGAATCATAGAATTATACAGCACAGAAGGAGGCCATTCAGCCCATCGTGTCTGTCTCTTTGAAAAGTGCGATCCAAATCAACCCCACTCCCCCGCTCTCCCCCATAGCCCTGATCAACCCCACTCCCCGCTCTCTCCCATAGCCCTGATCAACCCCACTCCCCCGCTCTCTCCCATAGCCCTGATCAACCCACTCCCCCGCTCTCCCCCACAGCCCTGATCAACCCCACTCCCCCGCTCTCCCCCATAGCCCTGATCAACCCCAACCCCCGCTCTATCCCATAGCCATGATCAACCCCACTCCCCCACTGTTCCCATAGCCCTGATCAACCCCTCCACCGCTCTCTCCCCATAGCCCTGATCAACCCCACTCCCCCGCTCTCTCCCCATAGCCCTGATCAGCTCCCACCAGCCTTTCAGGCAACACATTCCAGATCCCAACAACTTGCGTCTGATAAAATGTCTCCTCCCCTCCACTCTGTTTCTTTTAACAACTATTTTGAATGGGTGTCCTCGGGTCACCGGTGCCATTCCTGGTGCCATCGCGGTCAGTCTCCTTTGCACACTCTCCAATGCCTTGACATCCTTCCTACAGTGTGGGGCCCAGAACTGGACACAGTCTCTAACTAACTCTAACCCTACAGTGTGGGGCCCAGAACCGAACACCGTCTGTGGTTGAGGCCTAACCAGTGTTTTATAACTATAATTATCACATCACTGGTCCTGTGGTTCACTGACCCCCACACCTGTCACTGTCTGTCTGTGTTACTGAGTGTTGTGTGTGAGAGTGTGAGACCGGCTGTTGTCTGTATGTGTGAGACTGGGTTTTATATATGTGTGTGTTGTCTCTCTGTGTGTAACTGACTGTTGTGTGTATGTGTGTGTGTGTGTGTGAGGGCTGAACGAGTGTGGGGGGGGCTGTGGGGGGGGCAGTGTGGGGGGGGGGGGGCAGGTGTGGGGGGGGGCAGTGTGGGGGTGTGGGGGGGGCACTGTGAGCCTCACACTCACTCACACACTCCAGTCTGAGTGTGAGAAACATTGAGTTGTTTTACCCATTAATATCATCACAAATTTTGCTCAAATATTAATGAACCATTTTCAGTTTATTTTGATTCCTTGAAATTGACAAAGAATAAATCGCCCGAATCACAGCCCAATTCACACCCACACATACTTGTGACACGTTACACGCTTGTTTTGATCAGCCGTGTGTGTCACAAACCAGAGACACAGCCACCGACACACGGAAACCCCTGAGATGACACGTGTTTACACACCAACACTCACACCCCAACAACGACAGTATTGACTGACGTACATACAGAGAATTAAACACAATCCAACAGCGAATGAGGCCCAACCCATCCGTGTCCGTGTTTATTCTCCACACGAGCCCACAATTACCCCCTTTCCCCTCTCCCCCCTCCACTATTCCCCTCTCCTCCCTCCGCTGTTGCCCTCTCCCCCTCCGCTGTTGCCCTCTCCTCCCTCCGCTGTTGCCCTCTCCTCCCTCCGCTGTTGCCCTCTCCCCCTCCGCTGTTGCCCTCTCCCCTCCCGCTGTTGCCCTCTCCCCCTCCGCTGTTGCCCTCTCCTCCCTCCGCTGTTGCCCTCTCCCCCTCCGCTGTTGCCCTCTCCCCCTCCGCTGTTGCCCTCTCCCCCTCCCCCAGTTGCTGGTGACAACTGGTGTCACAGATGGACAGAGATACAGANGGGGGAACGGGAAGACAGAGAGACACAGAGAGAGAGACACACACAGAGACAGAGAGAGAGACAGAGAGAGAGGGACAGAGACACAGACTCTCAGTACTCCAACAGTTTTCTACAATTCCCGAGATACACTCTCTATATTTTTATATCATTGTGTTATTGATATTACTATTAATAGAGAATCTTGAATTTTTAAATGTGATGTTTCGCCCACAAATACAGTCAATTCACTTCACTTGAGACGTCTCAATGATGTGATAAGGCACCGTCAGTGTGAACAGAATCTGCTGTTATACCAGTGACGCTCAGAGAGAATCAGTGACTGAGAGCAAAGGAGACACCAGGACCCTCAGGCCTTCGCTTGTGCTCCTCTCAGTCCCTCAGCTCCGCTCCTCCATTCTCCGTTCCTCACTCGCTCCGGGTTCCTGAGAACAAAAATACACCCAAACTCCTGGTTAGTCTCACACCATCTGCAGGCAATGTGCTGTGACCTCGTGCTGTCCATCACACCGGGTGTCTGACCCACATGGAAACCCGTCACCGCGATCAGCCGCGTGTCTGACCCACATCACCGCGATCAGCCGCGTGTCTGACCCACTTCACCGCGATCAGCCGCGTGTCTGACCCACGTCACCGCGATCAGCCGCGTGTCTGACCCACGTCACCGTGATCAGCCGCGTGTCTGACCCACACAAACTCATCACTGTGCTTAACAGTCCCCAAACCAGGCCTGAGAGTCACACGTGTGTATGTCACCTCCACACGGATCTCTCCCCGTGTCTGGGATGGAGTGCTCTCTCTCTCTCTCTCTCTGTGCAGGACACATGGTGTTTACCTGATCCTGGAGAGGGTTGGCCAGAGCCAAGGCTTGGGGACCCCGAGTGTGTGTGAGTGAGTGTGAGTGTGTGTGTGTGTGTGTGTGAGTGTGTGTGTGTGTGTGTGTGTGAGTGTGTGTGTGTGAGTGTGAGTGGTTTGGGGGGGACCCAGAGTGTGCGTTGGGGTAACTGCTGGAGTCTAACCCACTAAACCCACAGCTTTGCCCCTGAGAGCCCTGTCTGGCAGCTTCCCGCTGCTTGTCCAGCGAGGACTGCCCGACCCCTCAGGGCTTTGGCCGCAGGATAACAGGAGCCGAGTGGGCCGCGTGGCTGCCCCAGTGGCCAGTGGTAACCCGCTCAGTGCCAGGGCCCCGGTGCCAGTGGGCACTGGATGGCCAATACCCTGTGAGCTTCACTGGGATCACTTCCCGGTCTCAGGAAGGACGTCCCCGGTGAGCGCGGGGGGGGGGGGATGGGGGGGGGGGATTCCACTCCCCCAGTGGCCCTGTCACAGCCCAGTCCCTCACTCCCTCACTCACTCCCCCACTCCCCCAGTGGCACTGTCACAGCCCAGTCCTGATCCTCACAGCGGGTTAGTGACTGGGGATCACGAGAGGCCGTGTGGCGCTGACCGGCTCTTACCTGTTAATTGACCATTGGATGATTGGCCGCTTTCTTCACCTGTGACCAGAAACAGATAAAAGATGGAGTCAGAGTCAGACAGTCAATATCTCTATGTTATAGTCAGTCAGTCACAGGGAAAATGCCTGTATGTCACAGTCAGACAGGAAACGCCTGTACATTACAGTCAGACAGTCAGTCAGACAGACAGAAATTGCTGTACATTGTAGGGTTTGACAGTGAGGTGAGCAGAGAACACGTCACACACGTCCACTTGCAGAGTGTAGTCTGACCCGGTGTACAGCCGCACTGTTATTCACTTACTGGATGGACGGCTGTACTGGTGAGTCCCGGGTCCTGTCAATAAACAGACGTCAATTACACACAGACCCAGTGATGCTCGTTCAGCCCTCAAACACACACACACACATACACACAACAGTCAGTTACACACAGAGAGACAACACACACATATAAAACCCGGTCTCACACATAGAGAGACAACAGCCGGTCTCACACTCTCACACACAACACCCAGTAACACAGACAGACAGTGACGGGTGTGGGGGTCAGTGAACCACAGGACCAGTGATGTGATAATTATTATTATAAAACACTGGTTACGCCTCAGACACAGACTGTGTTCAGTTCTGGGCCCCACACTGTAGGAAGGATGTCAAGGCATTGGAGAGTGTGCAAAGGAGATTGACCGCGATGGCACCAGGAATGAGGGCTTCAGTTATCAGGAGAGGCCACAGACGTGAGGATTATTCTCCTTGGAGCAGAGAAGGTTCAGAGGAGACTCCAGAAGTTTTGAAAATGATGAGGGGATTCGATAGGCGGAACAAGGAGAATTCCCACTGGGGGTTGATCAGGGCTTGGGGAGAGCGGGGGAGTGGGGTTGATCAGGGCTATGGGAGAGAGCGGGGGAGTGGGGTTGATCAGGGCTATGGGGGAGAGCGGGGGAGTGGGGTTGATCAGGGCTATGGGGGAGAGCGGGGGAGTGGGGTTGATCAGGGCTATGGGGGGAGAGCGGGGGAGTGGGGTTGATCAGGGCTATGGGGGAGAGCGGGGGAGTGGGGTTGATCAGGGCTATGGGGAAGAGCGGGGGAGTGGGGTTGATCAGGGCTATGGGGGGAGAGCGGGGGAGTGGGGTTGATCAGGGCTATGGGGAGAGAGCGGGGGAGTGGGGTTGATCAGGGCTATGGGGGGAGAGCGGGGGAGTGGGGTTGATCGGGGGAGAGCGGGGGAGTGGGGTTGATCAGGGCTATGGGGGGAGAGCGGGGGAGTGGGGTTGATCAGGGCTATGGGGGAGAGCGGGGGAGTGGGGTTGATCAGGGCTATGGGGGGAGAGCGGGGGAGTGGGGTTGATCAGGGCTATGGGGGGAGAGCGGGGGAGTGGGGTTGATTTGTATCGCACTTTTCAAAGAGACAGACACGATGGGCTGAATGGCCTCCTTCTGTGCTGTATAATTCTATGATTCTCTCTGATAATCGGCTCCCGCGACAGTCCCATTTATTCACCTTTTCGCTCTCGTTTTCTTTTCCAGACGAGAATCTCCACAATCCCAGACACCAGCAAAGCCCCGATGATGAGGCCCAGGATCCAGGAAGTGGAACCGGCCGGAGTTCTCCCTGTTTTCCCATCTGTTCGGAGTGAACAACAACCAAACTTTCATTAAGGTCCTGAGAGTGAGAGAGGAGCGGAGTCTGAGAGAGGGAGAGGGTCAGAGGATGAGAAGAGAGAAAGCAACAAGTGAGAGAGAGAGAGAGAGATCTGCAGAGTATTGGAGGACGGGAAGAGAGAGAGGTGAGGAGTATGAGAGAATATTGGAGAATGGGATGAGAAGGGGCGATGGGCGGCTGTTTAGAGTAGACAGAGAGTTCTCCCGGAGACAGACTGACACCTCATGTTATTCCCGGTTTCCCGCTGTGACCTTATGTGTGTGGATGACCTATGTATGTGGTTGACACCCAATCCTCCTCCAGCTGTGACTCCAGATCCCTGATGTCCTGTCAGTTTGTTTGTCAGACATCAAGGACTGGTTGAGCGTAAACTTCCCGTAGCTGAACATCAACAAGACAGAAGCCATACTCCTTGGCTCCCATCGTGTCTCCTGTGGCTCTGACCTCCTCAACCTCACCGCCCTTTGCCTTAGACTCACTGAACCTGTACATAACCTGAGCGTCAGGTTCGACCCTCAGCTGTCCTTCCTCCCCCACATCCGGTCCCTGACCAGGACCACTTTCCTCCACCTCCTCCACATTGCCCACCTCCGACCTTACCTCACACCCAACACAACCAAAACCCTTGTCCATGTGTTTGTCACCTCCCACCTTGACTATTCCAATGCCCTCCTCTCTGGTCTCCCCAACCTCACTATCCACAGACCCCAACTAATCCAGAACTCCACCGCCCGTATAACCACCCGCTCGACACACCTCACCCCATCACCCCCATCACCCCGGCCCTCACCAGGCGCCACTGGCTCCCTATCAGAGAGACCATCCACTTCAAGATCCTCACACTTGTCTGACAGCCACTACAGTCTGAAACTCTGCAAATCCTTCCCTCAATCCCTCCACATTGCCCCCTCCTTCCCCATTTTCACATCACACCTGAAGACCTTCCTCTCTGACTGTGCTTACGGTCCCCTCCCCCTCCCCCTGTGTCAGCCCCACCACTGTTAAGTGCTCGAGACGCTGCCCCGTGTGAGGTTGCTGTGTAACCCGAGTTGTTGTTGTTGATCTTACCCCACGGCACCTCCAACACCCCCTGGAGGCTGCTGTGCTCCACCAGACAGGAGAAGCCCTGCTCCCCCGCGGAGCCCGTCTCCAGCTCCATCTGCTTCACTGTCTGAAAGGTGTGGTCGTGGTTGGGTAATACACCGCTGGACTCCACCTCGTGGACAGTGTTGCCGTCCCTTGTCCAGGTCACCTCGATGGGCCGCGGATAGAAGCCAGTAACAAGACAGGAGAGAAGGGCTCTCCCCCCCACGTCCCTCCTGTAACTGACTGAGACGTCAGGGCGGCCTGGGGAGGGGAGCACAGTCACACACAGCTCAGCACTGAGCCCACCCTGACACAGCGAGGCTTAACCATATAATAAGGCCATATTAGTAACAACACACACTCACTCTGTCGCTGGAAGGTGGACTTTGAATACTGATAGTATTCCTCCATCCAAGTAGGACAATCATTCTCCAGGACCTGTTTCCAATCCTGATTCATGTCTCTGTCGTTGTCCAGTTTCTGTCTCAGGGTCTGAGCCTCGGGAACAGCAGAAATCCATCTCAGGTCGTTTTTGTCAAAGCTGAGAAAATCTTCACCATCGAATGCGACTGTGAAGTGTTCGTCTGTAGTGCCGTCCTCCCTCACCTCACAGCCAGTTATCGCCTGGGCATAGTGAGCCCCTGAAATAGCCATTGACAGCCATTGTGTCAGCGCAGAGTGTGTCTGTCCATCACCGACCGTCTCACACACTCACACACATAATCACAGAGACACTCACACACACTCACTCTCCCTCACACACGTTCTCAACACACACACTCACACACAGTGAACGGTGCTGGATGTTCACTGAGAATATTAAACCACTCACCGCTCATAATATTCCTGCTCTTCATCATATACAACATTTTCTCCTTCAACCACATATAATCTGTCTTCACCTCCTCCACACGTATAGGGAAGCGCTGTTCTCTAACAGCCGTCTGTACACTGGGAATCCGACTGACAATTCTCTCACTGTTGCTGTCGTAGTGATAGATCTCAACATCATCCAACATCGCAGCACAGTAGTACTCTGGAAGTTCTCCGTCCGCTGACACCAGTGTTTGTAAGAATCTCAACACCTGAGGCTCTGTCAGACACAAACACACACACTGGTTGTACGTGTGTAACAGGTCACTGAGTACATACTGTTCACACGCTTCACACACACTTGTCACATACAGCACACGCTCGCAACTGTCAAATGCCCACACAGCTCACAGTGTACACACAGGACACAGTGTACACACAGGGCACAGTGTACACACAGGGCACAGCTCACAGTGTACACACAGGGCACAGCTCACAGTGTACACACAGGGCACAGAGCACACAGATCAGTGCACACACAGCTCACATTATCCACGCAGGACACAGTGTACACACAGGGCCCAGTTTATAGCCAGGGCACAGTGTACATGCAGGACAACAACAAGGTGACCTTAAAGGTGAGGACGAGGATCTTGAACTCGATCCTCTGGGGGGTGGGGAGCCAGTGGGGTCGGGCGAGGGTGGGAGTGATGGGGTCACGGAGTCTGGTGGTGAGAGTACACGAGCTGCAGAGTTTTGGATGATCGGACACTGCGTACCCAGGGCACAGTGTACACACAGCTCAAAGTGTACACACAACTCACAGTATACACTCACAAACACAGTGCAAACGCACATCACAGTACGCATGCAGAGCGCAATTAGCTCATAGTGTACACACAGGGCACAGCTCACAGTATACACACAGGAGACAGTGTACACACAGGGCAAATCTCAGAGTGTAAACACACCTCAGTGTGTACACGCAGGGCACAGTGCGCACGCAGGGCACAGTGCGCACGCAGGGCACAGTGCGCACGCAGGGCACAGTGCACACGCAGGGCACGGTGCACACGCAGGGCACGGTGCACACGCAGGGCATAGTGTACACACAGGGCACAGCTCAATCAGACACTCTGCTCACACACTGACTCTGTCACTCGGCGACTCCACACACACTGACTCTCTCTCACTCACTGATCTCACACACCTATCGGCTGGTCTTGATATTCAACCCTTCCCTCTCCCCAAAGCCTTCCAATGATTTCCTTTTCAAGTGCCTTCCAATTCCCTTTTGAAACGTTGGCAAAGTGGCTCCGGGTAAAAGCTTCCGCTGCGATTTGTGTTTGGCGGTTTGTGGCTCTGTGTGAGTGAGTGTCCATCACATCCACACAACACATCCTCTCACTCTCTCTCTCTGCCTTTCGGTGTCAGTTTTCAGTATGTCTGTCTTTGTGTCTGTCTCTGTTTGTCTCAGTCTGTGTGTGTATGTGTCTGTCTCTCTGTGTGTCAGTCTCTTTGTCAGGAGGAATGAGGAGAGATATTGCGAGATAAATGGTATCATTTTAAATGGGGTGCAGGAACCGAGAGACCTGGGGGTTCACGTGCTCGAACCTTTGAAGGTGGCAGGACACGACACGACACACTGTTAAAAAGGCCTATGGGATCCTTGGCTTTATATATAGAGGCACAGAGTACAAAGCAAAGAAGTTTTGCTAAATCTTTAGAAATCACTGGTTGGGGCTCAGTTGGAGTATTGTGTCCATCTCTGGAATGACAATAATACAACAGCAGCGCACAGAGCTCACAGTGAACACACGGAGGGAACGAGAGCAATCTCACAGACAGAGAAAAGGAACCCAGGTTCAATATCTGTGCCCCTCATCCCCTCCGCGTCAAACCCTCCACATCAGCCCCACTCCCTCAGCCACTCACCCCTCAGCCCCTGCACCCCCACCGCCCCCCCCTCCCCTCCCAGCCCCAAACCGGCACAGGCACAAATGGCCAATGGTCTCCTTCGGTGCTGTAACAGAGAAATAACTATAACAACAACCACCACCACAAAATTACATGTGTAAAGCGCTTTTCATGTCGGGAGGATGTTCCAAGGCGCTGGACAGACAGAGTTACACACCCGAGCCGGGGGTCGGGGTGGAGGAGGGTGAAGGGCAAGGGGGGTAGCAGGAGATTGAAAGCACGGTCAAAGAGGAGGGTCCAGAGGTGAGTCTTGAAGATGGCGAGGGAGGGCTCGAGGGAGGGTGCGAGGCGGAGGGACTGCGGGATGGAGTTCCAGAGGGTGGGGGCAGAGTGGCGGGAAGGCCCACCCGCCAATAGTCGCGGGAGCGAGGCGGGCAGGTGAAGCAGGCCGGAGCCCGCTGAACGCAGGGTGTGAACAGGGTAGTAGGGGGTTCGGTTGGAGAAATCGGGCACAGTGTACACACAGGGCACAGCGTACAGTGTACACACAGCTCACCGCGTACACACAGGGCAGCGCGTACACACAGGGCACCGCGTACACACAGGGCACCGCGTACACACGGCACAGCTCACAGTGCACACAGAGGGCACCGGGTACACACAGGGCACCGCGTACACACAGGGCACCGCGTACACACAGGGCACCGCGTACACACAGGGCACAGTGTACACACAGGGCACAGCGTACACACAGGGCACAGCGTACACACAGGGCACAGCATACACACAGGGCACAGCTCACAGTGTACACACAGGGCACAGCTCACAGTGTACACACAGGGCACAGCTCACAGTGTACACACAGGGCACAGCTCACAGTGTACACACAGGGCACAGCTCACAGTGTACACACAGGGCACAGCTCACAGTGTACACACAGGGCACAGTGTACACACAGGGCACAGCTCACAGTGTACACACAGGGCACAGCTCACAGTGCACACACAGGGCACAGCTCACAGTGTACACACAGGGCACAGCTCACAGTGTACACACAGGGCACAGCTCACAGTGTACACACGGAAGGGAAGAGAACAGTGTCAGTGAATGGTGACAGACTGAGAAAAGGAACTCCGCTGCAATCTCTGCTCCAATCTCCCCCTCCGCACCCCCCAAAATACACAGAATATACTATAACACACAGTGACAGTCAGAGTCTGGGGCCACTTACTGTGGAGCGCACTGCACACAGGCAGGAGGGCAGCGAGAGCCATCACAAGGACCTTCATGGTCCTGTTGGATGGTCACTGCAATGTGCCCAACACTGGACCTCACACTGATGGTGTCCAACCGGACCTCAGCCCTAAGGCCTCTCTGATCTCACTCACTCCCTCTCTGACTGATCTCACACTGACTCACTCACCGCCAATGGGAGGATCTCGGGAGCCGCTCGTAACAGGTCTCCGGGGAAAAGGCTCTGAAACAGGTTGTGATCTGTGGTTCCTCCCCGTGGGGGTGTGTGTGTGAGAGAGAGGGTGTGAGTGTGTGGGAGAGAGGGTGTGAGTGTGTGAGAGAGGGTGTGTGTGTGTGTGTGTGTGAGTGTATATGATGTGATTGTGACTGTGTCAATCGTGTCGTGTGTCTGTCAGAGTGAGTGAGTGAGTGAGTAGAATCTCCTCAAAAGTCCAACCCGCGATCCCTCCACTCTCACGAATTTCAGACCCATTTCAAACCCACCCTTCCTGGCCAAGGCCCTGGAACATGTGCTACACCTCTCCCTCCACTCCCGCCTCGAGCCCCTCCACTCTCCACCCGAGCTCCTCCACTCCCTACTTGAGCCCCTCCACTCTTCACCCGAGCTCCTCCACTCTCCACCCGAGCTCCTCCACTCCCTACTTGAGCCCCTCCACTCTCCACCCGAGCTCCTCCACTCCCTACTTGAGCCCCTCCACTCTCCACCCGAGCTCCTCCACTCTCCACCCGAGCTCCTCCACTCCCTACTTGAGCCCCTCCACTCTTCACCCGAGCCCCTCCACTCTCCACCCGAGCTCCTCCACTCCCTCCTCGAGCCCCTCCACTCCCCACTCGAGCCCCTCCACTCTTCACCCGAGCCCCTCCACTCCCCACTCGAGCCCCTCCACTCCCTCCTCCACTCCCTCCTCAAGCACCTCCACTCCCCAATCCAGTCCCTCCACTCCCTCCTCGAGCAGCTCCACTCCCTCCTCGAGCCCTTCCGCTCCCTCCTCGAGCCCCTCCGTTCCCTCCTCGAGCCCCTCCGCTCCCTCCTCGAGCCCCTCCGCTCCCTCCTCGAGCACCTCCACTCCCTCCTCGAGCCACTCCGCTCCCACCTCGAGCCACTCCGCTCCCCAATCGAAACCCTCCACTCCCTCCTCGAGCCCCTCCACTCCCTCCTCGAGCCCCTCCACTCCCTCCTCGAGCCCCTCCGCTCCCTCCTTGAGCCCCTCCACTCCCCAATCGAGTCCCTCCACTCCCTCCTCGAGCCCCTCCACTCCCTCCTCGAGCCCCTCCACTCCCTCCTCGAGCCCCTCCACTCCCTCCTCGAGCCCCTCCACTCCCCACTCGAGCCCCTCCGTTCGCTCCTCGAGCCCCTCCACTCCGCACTCGAGCCCCTCCGCTCCCTCCTCCCGTCCCTCCAGTCTGGTTTTCACGGTGACGGCCGACAGCACAGAGACAACACTCGTCAAATTAACAAATGGCGTCCTCTCTCTCTCTGTGACCAGCGCTCCCACTCCCTCCTCGACCTCTCCCCCACGTTCAACACCGTCGACCACTCCATCCTCCTCCACCGCCTCTCCTCCCTCACCCTCCTCAGTGGGACCGCACTCACATGGTTCCAGTCCTACTGACTAACTGCCAACACCACATCTCGGCAAAGGGTCTCTCCCTCCCGCCCCCAACGGCTCCCGCCCGCGCTCAGACCACGTGACGCCCCCCAACGGCTCCCGCCCGCGCTCAGACCACGTGACGCCCCCCAACGGCTCCCGCCCGCGCTCAGACCACGTGACGCCCCCCAACGGCTTCCGCCCGCGCTCAGACCACGTGCTCCTCCCCAACTCCCGCTCCCGATTGGCTGGACTCAGACCCACGTGACGCTGCTGCTGCCCAACGGCTCCCGCTCGAGGCTGCGCTCGGCGCTCAGTGGCAGTTGGAGCCGATCACGTGCCGCCCCCGAGCTGGAGAGGCGGGAAAAAGGCCCCGAGATCCCGACTGTGTCCCCGACATGTGGCGGTGATTGGACGGATCATCCATTTGTTATACAGTGAGCAACAGGTACAGCCCCACGGGGGGGGCACAGCCCCGGGGGGGGGGCACAGCTCCGGGGGGGGGCACAGCTCCGGGGGGGGGGCACAGCCCCGGGGGGGGGGTACAGTCTGAGTGTGATCACAGTGACTCACACTCGCTCACACACTACAGTCTGAGAGTGATCACAGTGACTCTCACACTCGCTCACACACTTCAGTCTGAGAGTGATCACAGTGACTCACACTCGCTCACACACTACAGTCTGAGAGTGATCACAGTGACTCTCACACTCGCTCACACACTACAGTCTGAGAGTGATCACAGTGACTCTCACACTCGCTCACACACTACAGTCTGAGTGTGATCACAGTGACTCTCACACTCGCTCACACTACAGTCTGAGTGTGATCACAGTGACTCTCACACTCGCTCACACTACAGTCTGAGTGTGATCACAGTGACTTTCACACTCGCTCACACACTACAGTCTGAGTGTGATCACAGTGACTCTCACACTCGCTCACACTACAGTCTGAGTGTGATCACAGTGACTCTCACACTCGCTCACACACTACAGTCCATGTGTTTATAATGATGGATTTGGCTCCAATATTAATTGGCCGTTTGTGTCACAGTTTATTTTGATTTGTTGCTGAAACTCACAAAGAATAAATGTTCTGTGAATCACAGCGCAGAACACACATGAGCTGCTGTTACACAGACTGGTTACAGGTGACACAACCTTCCTGTACAGCCGTGTTACACATCACACACATTCCTTTAATGCTACAAATAAATCTAATCGGTTATATACACTGTATATGAAACATTCTTTGTATTTATATAAATACAACAATTCTCTTCATTTTATATAAAAGTCACAAGTTTATAAAAGATGTTCACAAAAAGTGTATAAAAAATTAATATAAAGTATGTTTATGCGCTGCTCCTCTTCACAAAGAGCAGGGACTGGGTTTATTTATTACACATGTCACTGAGTTCATGTCCATTGGTACGTGTTCAGCCTCACTGTTACTCACTGACTGATGGACGGTGGGACTGGAGACTCCCAGGTTCTGTAATCAAACAGAGGTCACTCACAAACAGAGACCAGTGACGGTCATTAAGTCCCCAATCACCGGGTCACACACAGAGACAACGGACTGTGATCAGCCGCGTGTCTGACACACGTGGAAACCATCACTGTGATCAGCCGCGTGTCTGACACACGTGGAAACCATCACTGTGATCAGCCGCGTGTCTGACACACGTGGAAACCATCACTGTGATCAGCCGCGTGTCTGACACACGTGGAAACCATCACTGTGCTTAACAGTCCCCAAACCAGGCCTGAGAGTCACACGTGTGTATGTCACCTCCACACGGATCTCTCCCCGTGTCTGGGATGGAGTGCTCTCTCTCTCTCTGTGCAGGACACATGGTGTTTACCTGACCCTGGAGAGGGTTGGCCAGAGCCAAGGCTTGGGGACCCCGAGTGTGTGTGAGTGAGTGAGTGTGTGTGAGTGGTTTGGGGGGGACCCAGAGTGTGTGTGTGTGAGTGTGAGTGAGTGTGTGTGAGTGTGTGTGAGTGTGAGTGGTTTGGAGGGGACCCAGAGTGTGCGTTGGGGTAACTGCTGGAGTCTAACCCACTAAACCCACAGCTTTGCCCCTGAGAGCCCTGTCTGGCAGCTTCCCGCTGCTTGTCCAGCGAGGACTGCCCGACCCCTCAGGGCTTTGGCCGCAGGATAACAGGAGCCGAGTGGGCCGCGTGGCTGCGCCAGTGGCCAGTGGTAACCCGCTCAGTGCCAGGGCCCCGGTGCCAGTGGGCACTGGATGGCCAATACCCTGTGAGCTTCACTGGGATCACTTCCTGGTCTCAGGAAGGACGTCCCCGGTGAGCGCGGGGGGGGGGTGGGGGGGGATTCCACTCCCCCAGTGGCACTGTCACAGCCCAGTCCTGATCCTCACAGCGGGTTAGTGACTGGGGATCACGAGAGGCCGTGTGGCGCTGACCGGCTCTTACCTGTTAATTGACCATTGGATGATTGGCCGCTTTCTTCACCTGTGACCAGAAACAGATGAAAGATGGAGTCAGAGTCAGACAGTCAATATCTCTATGTTATAGTCAGTCAGTCACAGAGAAAATGCCTGTATGTCACAGTCAGACAGGAAACGCCTGTACATTACAGTCAGACAGTCAGTCAGACAGACAGAAATTGCTGTACATTGTAGGGTTTGACAGTGAGGTGAGCAGAGAACACGTCACACACGTCCACTTGCAGAGTGTAGTCTGACCCGGTGTACAGCCGCACTGTTATTCACTTACTGGATGGACGGCTGTACTGGTGAGTCCCGGGTCCTGTCAATAAACAGACGTCAATTACACACAGACCCAGTGATGCTCGTTCAGCCCTCACACACACAACAGTCAGTTACACACACAGAGACAACACACATATAAAACCCGGTCTCACATATACAGACAACAGCCGGTCTCACAGTCACACACACACAACACCCAGTAACACAGACAGACAGTGACGGGTGTGGGGGTCAGTGAACCACAGGACCAGTGATGTTATAATTATAAAACACTGGTTACGCCTGAGACACAGACTGTGTTCAGTTCTGGGCCCCACACTATAGGGTTTGGGTTAGTTAGAGACTGTTCAGTTCTGGGCCCCACACTGTAGGGTTAGAGTTAGTTAGAGACTGTGTTCAGTTCTGGGCCCCACACTGTAGGAAGGATGTCAAGGCATTGGAGAGTGTGCAAAGGAGATTGACCGCGATGGCACCAGGAATGAGGGCTTCAGTTATCAGGAGGCCACAGACGCGAGGATTATTCTCCTTGGAGCAGAGGAGACTCTAGAAGTTTTGAAAATGATGAGGGGATTCGATAGGGGGTACAAGGAGACACTATTCCCACTGGCGCGTGGGTCGGTAACCCGAGGACACCGACTTAAAATAGCTGTTAAAAGAAACAACAAGAACAACAAGATTCCATTTATAGAGCGCCTTTCACATCAGGAGGACGTCCGAAGGCGCTGTACAGTTGGGTCAGGACCCGAGCATTGGGGGGAAATGGTCAGAGTGAGGGGAGGGAGGGAGAGAGGATGGGAGAGATGGTCAGGGTGAGGGGGGGGAAGGGAGGGAGCGAGGAGGGGGGGAAATGGTGAGGGAAGGGGAGGAGCGAGGAGGGGGGAGATGGTCATGGTGAGGAGAGGGAAGGGAGGGGGTGAGGAGGGGGTAGAGAGTCGAGAGCGGAGCTGAAGGCTGAAGGTCAAAGAGAAAGGTCTTGAGACCGGCCTTGAAGGAGGAAAGGGAGGAAGCGGCAAAGGCACTGGGGATGGAGTTCCAGAGCCTCGGGGCTGAGAGGCTGAAGGCCACAGATGGTCGGGCGGTTGGGGCGGGGGACGTAGAGCAGACCGGAGCCAGAGGAACGGAGGGTACAGGCAGGTAGGTAGGGGGATAGTAGGTTGGAGAGGTAGGAGGGAGCGAGGCTGTGAATGGCCTTGTAGGTGACGATGAGGATCTTGAATTCGATCCACTGGAGGATGGGGAGCCAGTGTAGGCGAGCGAGGGTGGGAGTGAGGGCGAGGGTGGGAGTGAGGGTGAGGGCGAGGGTGGGAGTGATGTGTGCGCGGTGTCTGGTGCGGGACAATACATGAGCTGCAGAGTTCTGAATGACCTGCCGTGTGGAGGGAGGGCCGGGAAGGCCGACGAGGGGAGAGTTCCCATAGTCCAGCCTTGAGGGGATAAAGGTGTGGACCAGTGATAAAGGCCTGAAACAGAGGGGAGGGGAGGAGACATTTTATCAGAAGCGAGTTGTTGGGATTTGGAATGTGTTGCCTGAAAGGCTGTTGGAAGCTGATCAGGGCTATGGGGAGAGAGCGGGGGAGTGGGGTTGATCAGGGCTATGGGGAGAGAGCGGGGAGTGGGGTTGATCAGGGCTATGGGGAGAGAGCGGGGGAGTGGGGTTGATCAGGGCTATGGGGAGAGAGCGGGGGAGTGGGGTTGATCAGGGCTATGGGGAGAGAGCGGGGGAGTGGGGTTGAACAGGGCTATGGGGAGAGAGCGGGGGAGTGGGGTTGAACAGGGCTATGGGGAGAGAGCGGGGGAGTGGGGTTGATCAGGGCTATGGGGAGAGAGCGGGGGAGTGGGGTTGATCAGGGCTATGGGGAGACAGCGGGGGAGTGGGGTTGATTTTGATAGCACTTTTCAAAGAGCTGGAACAGACACGATGGGCTGAATGGCCTCCTCCTATGCTGTATGATTCTGTGGTTCTCTCTGATAATCGGCCTCCGCGACGGTCCCATTTATTCACCTTTTCTCATTTTCAGACGAGAATCCCAACAACAATCCCAGACGCCTGCAAAATGATCCGGCCCGGGATCCAGGAAGTGGAACCGGACGGAGTTTTCTTTGTTTTCCCATCTGTTCGGAGTGAACAGCAACATTAGAGTGAGAGAGGAGAGGAGTCTGAGAGAGGGAGAGGGTCAGAGGACGAGATGAGAGAATGCAAATCGAGAGAGAGAGAGATCTGCAGAGTATTGGAGGACGGGAAGAGAGAGAGGTGAGGAGTATGAGAGAATATTGGAGAACGGGATGAGAAGGGGCGATGGGCGGCTGTTTAGAGAAGACAGAGAGTTCTCCCGGAGACAGACTGACACCTCATGTTATTCCCGGTTTCCCGCTGTGACCTTATGTGTGTGGATGACCTATGTATGTGGTTGACACCCAATCCTCCTCCAGCTGTGACTCCAGATCCCTGATGTCCTGTCAGTTTGTTTGTCAGACATCAAGGACTGGTTGAGCGTAAACTTCCTGTAGCTGAACATCAACAAGACAGAAGCCATACTCCTTGGCTCCCATCGTGTCTCCTGTGGCTATGACCTCCTCAACCTCACCGCCCTTTGCCTTAGACTCACTGAACCTGTACATAACCTGAGCGTCAGGTTCGACCCTCAGCTGTCCTTCCCCCCCCACATCCGGTCCCTGACCAGGACCACTTTCCTCCACATTGCCCACCTCCGACCTTACCTCACACCCAACACAACCAAAACCCTTGTCCATGTGTTTGTCACCTCCCACCTTGACTATTCCAATGCCCTCCTCTCTGGTCTCCCCAACCTCACTATCCACAGACCCCAAATAATCCAGAACTCCACCGCCCGTATAACCACCCGCTCGACACACCTCACCCCCATCACACCTATCACCCCCATCACCCCGGCCCTCACCAGGCGCCACTGGCTCCCTATAATAATAATAATAATAATCCTTGCATTTGATATAGCGCTTTTCACGTCGGGAGGACGTCCCAAAGCGCTTCACAGAATATACTGTAAAGTGAATTGACTGTATATTTGAGGGCGAACGCGGCAGCCAATTGCGCACAGCAATGTCCCACAAACAGTCGTAGATTGAAAATGACCAATTTTATTATATTGTTTTTGGTTTTTTGGAGGGATTATTATTAGGCTCTGTGTGGAGTAAGGAAACTTGCCCGAGGTTTCGCCCTCTGCCTGGAATTGAACTCAGGTCTCTCGCTTGCAAAGCGAGTGCTCTAACCACTGAGCTACAGGACTCCACAGGACTCAGAGAACACATCCACTTCAAGATCCTCACACTTGTCTACACGTCCCCGGCACCTCCTTAGTTTCCCAACCTTTCCTACTCCTCACTCCACCACCCGCCCCCTCCGCTCGGTTGGCTCCGGCCTCCTGCTTATACCTCGTCCCTTCTGCTCCACCATCAGTGGCCGAGCTGACGGCCACTACGGTCTGAAACTCTGCAAATCCTTCCCTCAATCCCTCCACATTGCCCCCTCCTTCCCCATTTTCACATCACACCTGAAGACCTTCCTCTCTGACTGTGCTTACGGTCCCCTCCCCCTCCCCCTGTGTCAGCCCCACCACTGTTAAGTGCTCGAGACGCTGCCCCGTGTGAGGTTGCTGTGTAACCCCGAGTTGTTGTTGTTGATCTTACCCCACGGCACCTCCAACACCCCCTGGAGGCTGCTGTGCTCCACCAGACAGGAGAAGCCCTGCTCCCCCGCGGAGCCCGTCTCCAGCTCCATCTGCTTCACTGTCTGAAAGGTGTGGTCGTGGTTGGGTAATACACCGCTGGACTCCACCTCGTGGACAGTGTTGCCGTCCCTTGTCCAGGTCACCTCGATGGGCCGCGGATAGAAGCCAGTAACAAGACAGGAGAGAAGGGCTCTCCCCCCCACGTCCCTCCTGTAACTGACTGAGACGTCAGGGCGGCCTGGGGAGGGGAGCACAGTCACACACAGCTCAGCACTGAGCCCACCCTGACACAGCGAGGCTTAACCATATAATAAGGCCATATTAGTAACAACACACACTCACTCTGTCGCTGGAAGGTGGACTTTGAATACTGATAGTATTCCTCCATCCGATTAAGACAATCATTCTCCAGTTTCTGTTTCCAATACTGATTCATGTCTCTGTCGTTGTCCAGTTTCCGTCTCAGGGTCTGAGCCTCGGGAGCAGCAGAAATCCATCTCAGGTCGTTTTTGTCAAAGCTGAGAAAATCTTCCCCATCGAACGCGACTGTGATGTGTCCGTCTGTAGTGCCGTCCTCCCTCACCTCACAGCCAGACAACACCTGGCCATAGTGAGCCCCTGAAATAGCCATTGACAGCCATTGTGATCAGTGCAGAGTGTGTCTGTCCATCACCGACTGTCTCACACACTCACTGACAAAGAGAAAAAAACACTCACTGACTCCCCCTCACACTTGTACACCACAAACACACACCGCACACACAATGACAGAGACACACACCTCGTCTCCCTCACATGTACTCAACACACCCACAAACACACACTCACACAGATACACGGAAACTCACACAAACACACAATGACAAAGACACACACACACTCACATGTACTCAACACACACACACAGTGAACGGCGCTGGATGTTTACAGTGAATATTAAACCACTCACCGCTCGTAATATTCCTCCTCTTCATCATATACAACATATTCTCCTTCACCGTCATATAATCTGCCTTCACCCTCTCCACACGTACAGGGAAGCGCTGTTCTCTAACAGCCGTCTGAACACCGGGAATCCGACTGACAATTCTCTCACTGTTGCTGTCGTAGTGATAGATCTCAACATCCTCCAACATCACAGCACAGTAGTACTCTGGAAGTTCTCCGTCCGCTGACACCAGTGTGTGTAAGTATCTCAACACCTGAGGCTCTGTCAGACACAAACACACACACTGATTGTACGTGTGTAACAGGTCACTGAGTACATACTGTTCACACGCTTCACACACACTTGTCACATACAGCACACGCTCGCAACTGTCAAATGCCCACACAGCTCACAGTGTACACACAGGGCACAGTGTACACACAGGGCACAGCTCACAGTGTACACACTGGGCACAGCTCACAGTGTACACACAGGGCACAGCTCACAGTGTACACACACGGCACAGCTCACAGTGTACACACAGGGCACAGCTCACAGTGTACACACACGGCACAGCTCACAGTGTACACACAGGGCACAGCTCACAGTGTACACACAGGGCACAGCTCACAGTGTATACACACGGCACAGCTCACAGTGTACACACAGGGCACAGCTCACAGTGTACACACAAGGCACAGCGTACACACAGGGCACAGCTCACAGTGTACACACAGGGCACAGCTCACAGTGTACACACAGGGCACAGCTCACAGTGTACACACAGGGCACAGCTCACAGTGTACACACGGAAGGGAAGAGTACAGTGTCAGTGAATGGTGACAGACTGAGAAAAGGAACTCCGCTGCAATCTCTGCTCCAATCTCCCCCTCCGCACCCCCCAAAATACACAGAATATACTATAACACACAGTGACAGTCAGAGTCTGGGGCCACTTACTGTGGAGCGCACTGCACACAGGCAGGAGGGCAGCGAGAGCCATCACAAGGACCTTCATGGTCCTGTTGGATGGTCACTGCAATGTGCCCAACACTGGACCTCACACTGATGGTGTCCAACCGGACCTCAGCCCTAAGGCCTCTCTGATCTCACTCACTCCCTCTCTGACTGATCTCACACTGACTCACTCACCGCCAATGGGAGGATCTCGGGAGCCGCTCGTAACGGGTCTCCGGGAAAAGGCTCTGAAACAGGTTGTGATCTGTGGTTCCTCCCCGTGGGGGTGTGTGTGTGTGAGAGAGAGGGTGTGAGTGTGTGGGAGAGAGGGTGTGAGTGTGTGAGAGAGGGTGTGTGTGTGTTTGAGAGGGTGTGTGTGATGAGAGAGAGGGTGTGAGTGTGTTTGAGAGGGTGTGTGTGTGTGTGAGAGAGGGTGTGAGTGTGTGTGAGACAGGCTGTGAGTGTGTGTGAGAGGGTGCGTGTGTGTGTGAAAGAGGGTGTGAGTGTGTGAGAGAGGGTGTGTGTGTGAGAGAGGGTGTGAGTGTGTGAGAGGCTGTGAGTGTGTGTGAGAGGGTGTGTGTGTGTGTGCGAGAGGCTGTGAGTGTGTGAGAGAGGGTGTGAGTGTGTGGGAGAGGCTGTGAGTGTGTGTGAGAGGGTGTGTGTGTGTGTGCGAGAGGCTGTGAGTGTGTGAGAGAGGGTGTGAGTGTGTGTGTGAATATGACTGTGATTGTGACTGTCAGTGTGTCTGTGAGTGAGTGAGTGAGTGAGTGAGTGAGTGAGTGAGTGAGAGTGAGTGAGTGCAGTATCTCCTAAAAAAAACCTACCCTCGACCCGACCTTCCTGACGAAGCCCCTGGAACGCGAGTTACACCCCTCCCTCCACAAACTGCTCCACTCTCCCCTCGAGCCCCTCCACTCTCCCCTCGAGCCCCTCCACTCTCCCCTCGAGCCCCTCCACTCTCCCCTCGAGCCCCTCCACTCCCTCCTTGAGCCCCTCCGCTCCCTCCTCGAGCCCATCCACACCCTTCTCGAGCCCCTCCACTCTCTCCTCGACCCTCTCCGCTCTTTCCTCGATCCCCTCCACTCTCTACGCGAGCCCCTCCACTCCCTTCTTGGCCCCCTCCACTTCCTCCTCGAGCCCCTCCACTTCCTCCTCGAGCCCCTGCACTCCCCGCTCGAGCCCCTCCGCTCCCTCCTCCAGTCTGGTTTTCACGGTGACGGCCGACAGCACAGAGACAGCGCTCATCAAATTAACAAATGGCGTCCTCTCTCTCTCTCTCTGTGACCAGCGCTCCCACTCCCTCCTCGACCTCCTCGACCTCTCCCCCACGTTCAACACAGTCGACCACTCCATCCTCCTCCACCGCCTCTCCTCCCTCACCCTCCTCAGTGGGACCGCACTCACATGGTTCCAGTCCTACTGACTAACTGCCAACACCACATCTCGGCAAAGGGTCTCTCCCTCCCGCCCACACCCGGGCACCTGCGGGTACCCCAAGGCTCCATCTTCTTTTGTCATCTACATGTCCCTAACTATCTGACCTGCTGACCCCCCACTCCACCGCCCGCTGCCGCTGCTCGGCTGCCTCCGGCCTCCGGTTTGTCCCTCACCCCCTCCGCTCCACCATCGGAGCTTTCAGTCACTACACCCCGAAGCTCTCCCCTCAATCCCTGTGCCTTTCCCCCTCCCTCCCCACTCTCAAGTCCTGCCTCAAGACCATCCTTTTTGATGGGGGTTACGGTCTCCTTCCCCCTCCCTCTCCCCCTGCCTCGGGGTCAGACTCCACCACTGTCAAGCGCTCCGGGACACCACCCCACGTCAACAACAACAACAACATTACATGTGTACAGCGCCTTTCACGTCGGGAGGACGTCCCAAGGCACTGGACGGTCACAGCATTTCAGACCTGAGGGGGAGGGGTCACAGCTCGGAGTGGGGGGGGGTTACGGCTCCTGTTTGTAATCACAGACCTCAGGCCCTCCCTCCGCTCAGCCAAGACCCCAAGTCAAGAGTCAGGGTCTTGACGTGGCCTTGAAAGAGGGGCGGGAGGGAGGCAGCGAGGCGGAGGGACTCCAGGAATGAGGTACAGAGGGCGGGGGGGGGGGGGGAGGGGGCAAAACACAATGGCGGTGGGCGGTGGGGGGGCTAGACGGGGTGTGAGTGAGTGGGGGGACATGAAGCCGGGGGCAGGTGGGGAGATGGCAGAGGGCGGTTGGTGGAGGAGAGGGTGGGGGAGGGGTGGGGAATCTCTCTCCGGGCCGGATCAGGCCCGCGGGCCGACAGTTGGCCCAGCCTGGCTTCAGGAGCAGTGGGAAGACAACTCAACTGTGTGGAGCCGCTCCTCACTGGTCACTGGGGAAAGAGCCGCTTTGCTGTGAGGAAACTGCTGATGGTGTGTGAGAGGGTCAAGTGACGGCCCCCAACGGCTCCCGCCCGCGCTCAGACCACGTGACGCCCCCCAACGGCTCCCGCCCGCGCTCAGACCACGTGACGGCCCCCAACGGCTCCCGCCCGCGCTCAGACCACGTGACGCCCCCCAACGGCTCCCGCCCGCGCTCAGACCACGTGACGCCCCCAACTCCCGCTCCCGATTGGCTGGACTCAGACCCACGTGACGCTGCTGCTGCCCAACGGCTCCCGCTCGAGGCTGCGCTCGGCGCTCAGTGGCAGTTGGAGCCGATCACGTGCCGCCCCCGAGCTGGAGAGGCGGGAAAAAGGCCCCGAGATCCCGACTGTGTCCCCGACATGTGGCGGTGATTGGACGGATCATCCATTTGTTATACAGTGAACAACAGGTACAGCCTCACGGTGGCACAGCGGCGGGAAGGAATGGCCTCTCTCTCGCTCCCTGCCCGGCCCCGCCCCTCGCTGCCCTGCCCCGCCCCTCGCTGCCCTGCCCCGCCCCTCGCTGCCCGGCCCCGCCCCTCGCTGCCCGGCCCCGCCCCTCGCTGCCCGGCCCCGCCCCTCGCTGCCTGCCCCGCCCCTCGCTGCCATGCCCCGCCCCTCGCTGCCCGGCCCCGCCCCTCGCTGCCCGGCCCCGCCCCTCGCTGCCCGGCCCCGCTCCTCGCTGCCCGGCCCCGCCCCTCGCTGCCCGGCCCCGCCCCTCGCTGCCATGCCCCGCCCCTCACTGCCATGCCCCGCCCCTCACTGCCATGCCCCGCCCCTCGCTGTCCGGCCCCGCCCCTCGCTGCCGGCCCCGCCCCTCGCTGCCCGGCCCCGCCCCTCGCTGCCGGCCCCGCCCCTCGCTGCCCGGCCCCGCCCCTCGCTGCCCGGCCCCGCCTCGCTGTCCGGCTCACTGTGTGACATGACAGGACAGCCCCGGGGGGGGGCACGGCCCCGGGGGGGCACGGCCGGGGGGGCACGGCCCCGGGGCACGGCCCGGGGGGGCACGGCCCCGGGGGGGGCACGGCCCCGATGGGGGGGCACGGCCCCGGGGGGGAGGCACGGCCCCGGGGGGGGGGTACAGTCTGAGAGTGATCACAGTGACTCTCACACTCGCTCACACACTACAGTCTGAGAGTGATCACAGTGACTCTCACACTCGCTCACACACTACAGTCTGACTGTGATCACAGTGACTCTCACACTCGCTCACACACTACAGTCTGACTGTGATCACAGTGACTCTCACACTCGCTCACACACTACAGTCTGATTGTGATCAGTGACGCACTCGCTCACACTACAGTCTGAGTGTGATCACTGTGACTCTCACACTCGCTCACACACTACAGTCTGAGTGTGATCACAGTGACTCTCACACTCGCTCACACACTACAGTCTGAGTGTGATCACAGTGACTCTCACACTCGCTCACACACTACAGTCTGAGAGTGATCACAGTGACTCTCACACTCGCTCACACACTACAGTCTGAGTGTGATCACAGTGACGCTCACACTCGCTCACACACTACAGTCTGAGTGTGATCACAGTGACGCTCACACTCGCTCACACTACAGTCTGAGAGTGATCACAGTGACTCTCACACTCGCTCACACACTACAGTCTGAGTGTGATCACAGTGACTCTCACACTCGCTCACACACTACAGTCCATGTGTTTATAATGATGGATTTGGCTCCAATATTAATTGGCCGTTTGTGTCACAGTTTATTTTGATTTGTTGCTGAAACTCACAAAGAATAAATGTTCTGTGAATCACAGCGCAGAACACACATGAGCTGCTGTTACACAGACTGGTTACAGGTGACACAACCTTCCTGTACAGCCGTGTTACACATCACACACATTCCTTTAATGCTACAAATAAATCTAATCGGTTATATACACTGTACATGAAACATTCTCTGTCTTTATATTAATACAACATTTCTCTCCATTTGATATAAAAGTCACACTTTTCTTCTTTAGATATGAAACAGTCTCTGTTTTTGCATATTCTGTTCTCATATAAATGTAATAGTTCTCTCCGTTTGACACACGATCACCGATTAATAGAGAGACATCATTTGTACCTCATCAGAAAAGTCTCAGAAGAGGGGAGTGTCGTGGGCATATTTCTTGGAGAGGGCACATTGAGCTGTGACCTGAACACACTCTTGTTTAAATGTCGGGCAGTTTGGCTGAAGGTGAACACAGTGTTTGTGGCACTTTAAATGGTTTGTGAGTGTTTAATACTGAAATCCACATTTCACATCGGATCCTTTGGTTGGAAACTTAACAGCAACAGCCACAGCTACAGCCACAGCCACAGCTACAGCCATAGCCACAGCTACAGCCATAGCCACAGGCACAGCCACAGCCACAGCCACAGACACAACTACAGCCATAGCCACAGCCACAGCCACAGCCATAGCCACAGCCACAGCCATAGCCAGAGCCACAGCTACAGCCATAGCCACAGCTACAGACACAGCTACAGCCATAGCCACAGCTACAGCCACAGCCACAGCCATAGCCACAGCCACAGCTACAGCCATAGCCACAGCTACAGCCATAGCCACAGGCACAGCCACAGCCACAGACACAGCTACAGCCACAGCCACAGCCACAACTACAGCCACAGCCATAGCCACAGCCACAGCCACAGCCACAGTTACAGCCACAGCTACAGACACAGCTACAGACACAGCCACAGCTACAGACACAGCTACAGCCACAGCAACAGCAACAGCCACAGCTACAATCACAGCTACAGCCACAGCTACACAGCTCGTGTGTGTATATAAAGTTCACAGTTTCTTGTTAATATAAAAGTCACAGGTTTCTGTATGTTTGTGCTCCGCTCCTCTGGACACAAAGCCGGAGACCGGGTGTATGTATTACACACGTTACTGATCAGATACTAATGAAACAGGTAAATCAGGGGCGACAACTGGAGAGTAAAATACTGTTGGTTAGGAAGCGACTGTACATAACAGACACAGTAAACTCCTGTACATCAGTACAGTCAGTGCCTATACATAGGAGTTAGTCACAAAACACCTGTGATCCCAGAGTTCTGAAATACAAGTGAACACGGAACACGTCACAGTCACACAGACACTGAGTTCATGTCCATTGGTACGTGTTCAGCCTCACTGTTACTCACTGACTGATGGACGGTGGGACTGGAGACTCCCAGGTTCTGTAATCAAACAGAGGTCACTCACAAACAGAGACCAGTGACGGTCATTAAGTCCCCAATCACCGGGTCACACACAGAGACAACGGACTGTGATCAGCCGCGTGTCTGACACACGTGGAAACAATCACTGTGATCAGCCGCGTGTCTGACACACGTGGAAACCATCACTGTGATCAGCCGCATGTCTGACACACGTGGAAACCATCACTGTGATCAGCCGCGTGTCTGACACACGTGGAAACCATCACTGTGATCAGCCGCGTGTCTGACACACGTGGAAACCATCACTGTGCTTAACAGTCCCCAAACCAGGCCTGAGAGTCACACGTGTGTATGTCACCTCCACACGGATCTCTCCCCGTGTCTGGGATGGAGTGCTCTCTCTCTCTGTGCAGGACACATGGTGGTTACCTGACCCTGGAGAGGGTTGGCCAGAGCCAAGGCTTGGGGACCCCGAGTGTGTGTGTGTGTGAGTGAGTGTGTGAGTGGTTTGGGGGGGACCCCGAGTGTGTGTGTGAGTGTGTGAGTGTGTGTGAGTGTGAGTGGTTTGGGGGGGACCCAGAGAGTGCGTGTGAGTGTGTGAGTGAGTGTGGTTTGGAGGGGACCCAGAGTGTGCGTTGGGGTAACTGCTGGAGTCTAACCCACTAAACCCACAGCTTAGCCCCTGAGAGCCCTGTCTCAGTGTGAGTGTGTGTGTGAGAGTGAGTGTGTGAGTGTGTGAGTGAGTGTGTGTGACCCCCTGAGAGCCCTGTCTGGCAGCTTCCCGCTGCTTGTCCAGCGAGGACTGCCCGACCCCTCAGGGCTTTGGCCGCAGGATAACAGGAGCCGAGTGGGCCGCGTGGCTTCCCCAGTGGCCAGTGGTAACCCGCTCAGTGCCAGGGCCCCGGTGCCAGTGGGCACTGGATGGCCAATACCCTGTGAGCTTCACTGGGATCACTTCCCGGTCTCAGGAAGGACGTCCCCGGTGAGCGCGGGGGGGGGATTCCACTCCCCCAGTGGCCCTGTCACAGCCCAGTCCCTCACTCCCTCACTCACTCCCCCACTCCCCCAGTGGCCCTGTCACAGCCCAGTCCCTCACTCCCTCACTCACTCCCCCACTCCCCCAGTGGCACTGTCACAGCCCAGTCCTGATCCTCACAGCGGGTTAGTGACTGGGGATCACGAGAGGCCGTGTGGCGCTGACCGGCTCTTACCTGTTAATTGACCATTGGATGATTGGCCGCTTTCTACACCTGTGACCAGAAACAGATAGAAGATGGAGTCAGAGTCAGAGAGACAATATCTCTATGTTACAGTCAGTCAGTCACAGGGAAAATGCCTGTATGTCACAGTCAGACAGGAAACGCCTGTACATTACAGTCAGACAGTCAGTCAGACAGACAGAAATTGCTGTACATTGTAGGGTTTGACAGTGAGGTGAGCAGAGAACACGTCACACACGTCCACTTGCAGAGTGTAGTCTGACCCGGTGTACAGCCGCACTGTTATTCACTTACTGGATGGACGGCTGTACTGGTGAGTCCCGGGTCCTGTCAATAAACAGACGTCAATTACACACAGACCCAGTGATGCTCGTTCAGTCCTCAAACACACACACACACAACAGTCAGTTACACACACACACACACACACAACAGTCAGTTACACACACAGAGACAACACACACATATATAAAACCCAATCTCACACATACAGACAACAGCCGGTCTCACACTCTCACACACAACACTCAGTAACACAGACAGACAGTGACAGGTGTGGGGGTCAATGAACCACAGGACCAATGATGTGATAATTATAAATATAAAACACTGGTTAGGACTCAGCCACAGACTGTGTTCAGTTCTGGGCCCCACACTGTAGGGTTTGGGTTAGTTATAGACTGTGGTCACTTCTGGGACTGATGTCAAGGCATTGGAGAGTGTGCAAAGGAGATTGACCACGATGGCACCAGGAATGAGGGCTTCAGTTATCAGGAGAGGCCACAGACGTGAGGATTGTTCTCCTTGGAGCAGAGAAGGTTCAGAGGAGACTCCAGAAGTTTTGAAAATGATGAGGGGATTCGATAGGGGGAACAAGGAGACACTATTCCCACTGGCGGGTGGGACGGTAACCCCAGGACTCCCATTCAAAATAGTTGTTAAAAGAAACAGATGGGAGGGGAGGAGACATTTTATCAGACGCGAGTTGTTGGGATCTGGAATGTGTTGCCTGAAAGGCTTTTGGGAGCTGATCAAGGCTATGGGGGGAGAGCGGGGGAGTGGGGTTGATCAGGGCTATGGGGGGAGAGCGCGGGGAGTGGGGTTGATCAGGGCTATGGGGGGCGAGCGGGGGAGTGGAGTTGATCAGGGCTATGGGGGAGAGCGGGGAGTGGGGTTGATCAGGGCTATGGGGAGAGAGCGGGGGAGTGGGGTTGATCAGGGCTATGGGGGGAGAGCGGGGGAGTGGGGTTGATCAGGGCTATGGGGGAGAGCGGGGGAGTGGGGTTGATCAGGGCTATGGGGGAGAGCGGGGGAGTGGGGTTGATTTGTATCGCACTTTTCAAAGAGACAGACACGATGGGCTGAATGGCCTCCTTCTGTGCTGTATAATTCTATGATTCTCTCTGATAATCGGTTCCCGCGACAGTGCCATTCATCTTTTTTCTTTCGTTTTCTTTTCCAGAAGAGAATCCCCACAATCCCAGACACCAGCAAAGCCCCGATGATGAGGCCCAGGATCCAGGAAGTGGAACCGGCCGGAGTTCTCCCTGTTTTCCCATCTGTTCGGAGTGAACAACAACCAAACTTTCATTAAGGTCCTGAGAGCGAGAGAGGAGCGGAGTCTGAGAGAGGGAGAGGGTCAGAGGGCGAGAAGAGAGAAAGCAACAAGTGAGAGAGAGAGATCTGCAGAGTATTGGAGGATGGGAAGAGAGAGAGGTGAGGAGTATGAGAGAATGTTGGATGAGAAGGGGCGATGGGCGGCTGTTTAGAGAAGACAGAGAGATCTCCCGGAGACAGACTGACACCTCATGTTATTCCTGTTTCCCGCTGTGACCTTATTTATGCTGATGACCCATGTATGTCTCCTGTGGCTTTGACCTCCTCAACCTCCCTGTCCTTTGCCTAAGACTTACTGAACCTGTACATAACCTGAGCATCAGCTTCGACCCTCAGCTGTCCTTCCTCCCCCACATCCGGTCCCTGACCAGGACCACTTTCCTCCACATTGCCCACCTCCGACCTTACCTCACACCCAACACAACCAAAACCCTTGTCCATGTGTTTGTCACCTCCCACCTTGACTATTCCAATGCCCTCCTCTCTGGTCTCCCCAACCTCACTATCCACAGACCCCAACTAATCCAGAACTCCACCGCCCGTATAACCACCCGCTCGACACACCTCACCCCCATCACCCCCATCACCCCCATCACCCCGGCCCTCACCAGGCGCCACCGGCTCCCTATCAGAGACCACATCCACTTCAAGTTCCTCACACTTGTCTACACGTCCCCGACACCTCCTTAGTTTCCCAACCTTTCCTACTCCTCACTCCACCACCCGCCCCCTCCGCTCGGTTGGCTCCGGCCTCCTGCTTATACCTCGTCCCTTCTGCTCCACCATCAGTGGCTGAGCTGACAGCCACTACGGTCTGAAACTCTGCAAATCCTTCCCTCAATCCCTCCACATTGCCCCCTCCTTCCCCATTTTCACATCACACCTGAAGACCTTCCTCTCTGACTGTGCTTACGGTCCCCTCCCCCTCCCCCTGTGTCAGCCCCACCACTGTTAAGTGCTCGAGACGCTGCCCCGTGTGAGGTTGCTGTGTAACCCCGAGTTGTTGTTGTTGATCTTACCCCACGGCACCTCCAACACCCCCTGGAGGCTGCTGTGCTCCACCAGACAGGAGAAGCCCTGCTCCCCCGCGGAGCCCGTCTCCAGCTCCATCTGCTTCACTGTCTGAAAGGTGTGGTCGTGGTTGGGTAATACACCGCTGGACTCCACCTCGTGGACAGTGTTGCCGTCCCTTGTCCAGGTCACCTCGATGGGCCGCGGATAGAAGCCAGTAACAAGACAGGAGAGAAGGGCTCTCCCCCCCACGTCCCTCCTGTAACTGACTGAGACGTCAGGGCGGCCTGGGGAGGGGAGCACAGTCACACACAGCTCAGCACTGAGCCCACCCTGACACAGCGAGGCTTAACCATATAATAAGGTCATATAGGGAATGATCGAATCCCAAATGCAGTTGTCATATGTGATTTGTTAATCGGGGGCTTGACAGGCGTTTCTGCATCCGCAGACGTGAGTCTGGGATGGTGCGTAGAGAGTTCCAGAGTTTCGGGGTGTGGTATCCAAAGGCACGGCAACCCATGGCAGAGCGGAGGGGCCGAGGGACAATCAGGAGGCTGGAGCCAGCCGAGCGGAGGCAGCGGGTGGTGGAGTGGAGGACAAGCAAATCACAGAGATAGGGAGGCGCGAGGGCAGGAGGTGATTTGACAACGAGTGAGAGGATCTTGAAGTTGATCTGTTCGGTGACTGGGAGCAGTGGCGCCTGGCGAGGACTGGGGAGAATAAAGATTCCAGAAACAGGAGCGATCGGACAGCAAGAAATGCTGTGCAGACAAAGGCAGTTTGGGAGTACGTGTGCGTAAGGCACGGAATGAGGCAAATAAGGTTGGTGATCCGCAGCCACAAGTTGCCACATGATTCTGTGATTTTATATTAGTAACAACACACACTCACTCTGTCTCTGGAAGGCGGATTTTGAACGCTGATAGTATTCCTCCATCCGAGTCGGACAATCATTCTCCAGGTCCTGTTTCAAATACTTATTCATGTCTGTCTGATTTTCCAGTTTCTGTCTCAGGGTCTGAGCCTCGGGAACAGCAGAAATCCATCTCAGGTCGTTTTTGTCAAAGCTGAGAAAATCTTCACCATCGAACGCGACTGTGAGGTGTCCGTCTGTAGTGCCGTCCTCCCTCACCTCACAGCCAGACAACACCTGGACATAGTGAATCCCTGAAATAGCCATTGACAGCCATTGTGATCAGCGCAGAGTGTGTCTGTCCATCACCGACTGTCTCACACTCACACACACACACATTCTCTCTCTCACACACTCACACGCACACAGTGAACAGTGCTGGATGTTCACAGGGAATATTAAACCACTCACCGCTCGTGATATTTCTGCTCTCCATCATATACAGCATATTCTCCTTCATTGTCGTATGAACTAACTTCCATATTTCTAGATATATGTTGAAGTGATGATCATTAACAGCCGTCTGTACACTGGGAATCCGGATGACAATTGTCCGACTGTTGCTCTCATAGTGATAGATCTGAACATCCTCCAACATCACAGCAACGAGATACTCCGGAAAATTGTTGTCCTCCGATATCAGCGTAACAAAACATCTCAACACCTCAGGCTCTGTCAGACACAAACACACAGTGATTGTACATGTGTCACAGTTCACATGGAGAACATGCTGTACACACGCTTTGCACACACTTTGCACATGTAGCGCACACTGAACACATACAAACTAAGTGTACACACAAGGAGAGGGGAGAGCAGGAGCGAGTAGAGCAGGGAGGGGGGAGAGCAGGCGGGGAGAGTGGGGGGAGTGTGGACAGGGGGGAGAGCAGGGGTGAGGCGGTGGGAGAGTATGGAGGGGGGGAGAGAGCAAACAAACAGAATCAATGTACACACGGCACAGCGTACACACAGGGCACAGCGTACACACGGCACAGCGTACACACAGGGCACAGCGTACACACAGGGCACAGCGTACACACAGGGCACAGCGTACACACAGGGCACAGCGTACACACAGGGCACAGCGTACACACAGGGCACAGTGTGCACACAGGGCACAGCGTACACACAGGGCACAGCTCACAGTGTACACACAGGGCACAGCTCACAGTGTACACACAGGGCACAGCTCACAGTGTACACACAGGGCACAGCTCACAGTGTACACACAGGGCACAGCTCACAGTGTACACACAGGGCACAGCTCACAGTGTACACACAGGGCACAGGGCACAGCGTACACACAGGGCACAGCTCACAGTGTACACACGGAAGGGAAGAGAACAGTGTCAGTGAATGGTGACAGACTGAGAAAAGGAACTCCGCTGCAATCAGGGAGAAACCACCAAACGGTCACCTATTTCAGGCCTTTTACCTGGAGACAAGTTGGGAGCAGCTCCCGAGATCCTCCCATTGGCTCAGTGTGAGCTCAGCCACAGAGTGAGATCAGAGGGAGGGCTCAGAGCTGAGGTCCGGTTGGACACCATCAGTGTGAGGTCCAGTGTTGGGCACATTGCAGTGACCATCCAACAGGACCATGAAGGTCCTTGTGATGGCTCTCGCTGCCCTCCTGCCTGTGTGCAGTGCGCTCCACAGTAAGTGGCCCCAGACTCTGACTGTCACTGTGTGTTATAGTATATTCTGTGTATTTTGGGGGGTGCGGAGGGGGAGATTGGAGCAGATCCGGCCCGCTCTCTCGCTGCCCGGCCCCGCCCCTGGCTGCCCGGCCCCGCCCCTCGCTGCCCGGCCCCGCCCCTGGCTGCCCGGCCCGCCCCTCGCTGCCCCGCCCCGCCCCTCGCTGCCCGGCCCCGCCCCTCGCTGTCCGGCCCCGCCCTTCGCTTGCCGGCCCGCCCCTCGCTGCTCCGGCCCCGCCCCTCGCTGCCCGGCCCCCGCCCTCGCTGCCCGGCCCCGCCCCTCGCTGCCCGGCCCCGCCCCTCGCTGTCACTGTGTGACGTGACAGGACACAGGAGGTGAGGAGGAGCCGCTCCCCTT